TTCTGAGGAGATCCTCCTTGGGCACCATACAGCCACAGACTGTTGCCATAGCCAGCCAGCCAGCAAAGCAAACAGTGCTTCAGAGTGCTCCCAGGCACCGGCCGTGACTGTCTGTCCTGCTGCACTGTTAACAGGGTCCTTGGCACACTTTTGACCCGTGCCAGCTAATATTTGCCTGAACTGTTCCGTGGGGCCCTGACAGTTCACACACCCCTGGGACCGTCCCCCGTAGGTGCTCTGCATACAGCCTTCTCGTTTGGTACACTAGGAGAGGTCACTAGCGTAGCGTGGGCTGCTCTGAGCCAGTTGACTGCAGGATCTGGGAGCATTCCAAGCCACACCAAATGTGCCGGTCTAGCTGTGGACCTGAGTCTGCAGTCAGGTTCCTAGGATAACCCAACAGCTCTTGCTGGCCCTCACTTTTTCTCACTTGTGGAGATTGAGGGTACCTGATATCAGAGCCAATCTCTGTACAAAAAAAGCATTGCAGCTGGCTGTTTGTGCTTTATGCAACAGGCTAGCGTCCCGGCCCACCATCTCGAATGCAAGTTAACCACAACACCTGAGCAGCATGTTTGACTATGAGCAGAAATGCTAAGGATTGAAAGTCTCAGAGCTGCAGAGACCTCCCAGTGTAAAACTGAGCGGTGGAACAGAAACAAATGCTCCTGAACTGTGACTTGTGGCTTTTCTTTTTTGGTCTTGCTGTTGCCTCACAGGGTTCTCTGTATCAGTCCTGTAGAAGCCCATACAAGGGCAGAGCTGAAAGTGAACTGTGGGAACTGCTGTGCCGATGTGTCGTAATTAAGCTTTTACAATAGTCCTAGCGTTTTCCCCTGTGGGCTGAAGGGGATATCCTGCGTAAAGGGCCATGTTTCAAAAACATGGCTTACAATAGCTAGCTATATTTCCATTACAGCCACTTTTCAGAGCCAGTTTTGATGTCAGTTACCATTACTTAAATGGGGCTTTAGCCCAGCTTCTGTGAACAAACCCTTGAGAGGGTTCATGTCACCACACACTAGCAAAGATGGTGGGGCTGCAGGTGAGCCCCTCCTGGCTATTACACCCTGTTACACCCAGTCAGGCCTTGTCCCCAGCCTCTGTCCATCATTGGTCAGTGCCATGTGGAGAGCCTCGTTTGTGGCTCCCTGCATAACAGAGCTAGGTCAGGAAAGGAGCAAGGTGGTAGGAGAGGAAGGAGTGCACCTCTTCTTTAATCTGCCATGTTCTCTCACCTCTCATCTCCCTTGCCTGTTACATATAGCCCCTTTTCATTTGGTTTTACCTCTCCTATTTTAAACTTAAAATGTAGGAAGAAATATTTTGTTCTTGACTTCTTTATCTGTCTTTGTGGCTTTGCTCTTCTACGGTCCCTGTGTTGTATTCAGGCCCTCATCCGTTGCAAGAGGAGGCAATCCATGTAATAGCTGTTTATTTCAGAGGGAAGAATGACCTGGGAGAAATCTCCTTCCTGAGCCCATATCTAGCGTTTGATTTAACCCTGAATGAATAAGCAAGAGACACCAACAAGACATTAAGGGATTTCTTGATCACAAGGCACATCCAGGTTGTAGCTGGGCTTGCTCTTAAGAGAAGACTCAGAAAGAGAAAAAAAAAAAAATATTCTCTTAGAAACCTACCAGTGGCGTAAAACTAAGTATCCAGTCATACTGAATTGATAAAAATAATGCAAATCAAATATTTTTCAAACATCTACCTTCACTTGTTCCAGAGTACCAATAATGGAGTCCTGTTTACAATTCTAGATTAATATCTTTTCGTAATTTATGCACATGGTTGTAGCATTCACCAGTGGGATACAGTCCACATAGCTCAAGCATTTACTTTGAAAGGTTTGGACATTTTAAGTGAGCTCATGGCGGATTTCATACTGGCTGCTTTATTTGCGTGCTGCCTTTATCAGAAGAGATCAAGCATTCCTGTTTCCCTAAATTGGCTCTCTCTGGAATATAATAGCAGCTTTCAAACTCACTACATGTAATCTCTGTATTTTTGATTATGAATAGGGTCATGTTTGTGAGTTAACGGCTTTAGTTCTGAAAGTGCCAAAACTTTGATCACCACATGTAGTTGTGTGAATTGGCTGAAAATGGTGATTTTGATCAATGCTTTATACATCAGTGTGCATTACCTACAGTATGACAGGAAACAACCACTGCCGAAACCTTTTAATATCTGCAAGAGGGAAAACGCTACTGGGAAATTTTAAGAAGATTAGATAACAAGAGAGCACTTGATGCAGTACTTCTTATGAGTACTTGCACGATACATAATCCTGTTATAGGACCTGCAGTACAAATCCTCATAGCTTCTTGATTTCTTCCAAAGTTTGTTTAAGCAATAATCCAGCTACCTAGAATCCCATTTATATTATAGCAGTCCTATTTTTCTTTCTATGTTGTGTATTTTGTTTACGTAGCCAGTGGTGAGTTTATATTTGGAAACTTGAGCTATAAACAAAATCGATTCCTTGATTTACTACCAAATACTGGTAAGGTAAAAATGCTGGCCTCACTGACGACTGCAGAAGTATTGCCATTTCAGCCACAGGGTCATGTACAAACAACTGACTGTTGGCTTTGCCATGCAGCCAGGCATCCTGTGAGTAACTCCTGTGGAGTCGGTGGGTATGTCAGAGCTGCACAGGCAAGCTTCGTATTGAGCAAGATGTTAACTGTAATACAGTAACACATTTAGGTTGAATAAAGCCTCCATTCTTTAATCAGTGTAACTGTCAAACTAAGGCAACTGTAACTTTTTAGTTTACATACCAGCATCACCTAGGGAAGAAATTTACTTCTGACTGAACACAAAGAAACCTCATCTACTCATTCAAATTATACCTTATTTGAAAACACAGGCGTAGTAGTAGTAGTTGCCTGGGGAATGGGGGAGGTACAGCATGAGTATTTCTAAACATTTCCAGCCTCACCCATTTGTTGACAGACCCTTGAGTTATTTTGGAAGCTCTGTCTCTGCTGCCTGCCATGTCAGTTATTATATTGAAAATTTAATTGTACAAGGTCTTTGACACTGAACTTTATAAATTTGTTCCAACTGACCTTGTCTCAGTTATTTGCCAGCCTGGCGCAGAGCCGTAGCAGTCATTATTTGTTCTCATGCAGTAGGTACAAGCAGCGTGGAGCAAGCAGGAGATAGAATGGACCTGACATTTTACATGACTGTGAATGAAGAAGCAGCTTTAAATAAAGAGATTAGTGTGTCCACCACAAAAAGTATTGCATTTCTCTCAAACAGGCTGAGCTTACGTTGTACAGAATTACTTCTTTGTACCCTGGGTGTGTCTGTTTGTTCTGTAATGTTTTCAAACATCTATTTAAGTTTATTTCTGTTTCACCATTCACTTAATTACTCCTCTGGACAGACATCTTCAAGAAAAGTTTTAGAGCATGGCTTTCATGTTCCAAACAGGGTACAAGTCACTACAACACATTAAAAGCAGAAAAAGTGTATCGGAGTACAGATCACCATCTGGACCTTTCACAAAGTTTCAGAAATCTGAAGTACAGTTTTAAATATTTTCCTGAAAGCATCACAATGTGAAAGCAAAACAGAGCAAAAGCCAATTAATATAAGACATAATATTTCTAGCGCCACATCTGCAAAAGGTTCAGTAGATTTAATTCTGATTTACGCAAGTGTCTGAGCGAGGTATCACCTGCAGACTCTGAAGAGATATGATGTGCAGTTGAGCTCCCTCAGTTGGCTCTGCAGCAACTGAAGTGTATTTAATAACTTCTTTTTCAAAATAAATACGTCACATTAGCAACACTAATCTCTATTTAAAAAACATTTTGCTTCACTATTAAAAAATGTGAACTTCAGTGCTTGTTAGAATAATTGGAATAAACAGTGTGTAAAAAACAGTAAAATGGGAACAGAGACTCAAAAATGAGTTTTATGAGATGTATCAAGAGAAGCTTGGTCAGCAGGTCAAGAGAGGTGATTTTCCCCCTCTACTCTGCTCTTGTGAGACCCCACATTGAATACTGTGTCCAGTTCTGGTGTCCCCACCATAAGAGAGACATAGATTTGTTGGAGCATGTTCAGAGGAGGGCCACAAAGATGATCCAGGGGCTGGAGCACCTCTGCTATGAGGACAGGTTGCGGGAGCTGGGATTGTTCAGCCTTGAAAAGAGAAGACTTCGAGGGGGACCTAATAGCTGCCTTCCAATACCTGAAGGAGACCTACAGGAAGGCTGGGGAGGGACTTTTTACAAGAGTGTCCACTGATAGGACAAGGGGAAATGGGTTTAAGTTGAAGGAGAACAGATTTAGATTAGATCTTAGGAAGAAATTCTTCAGTACGAGGGTGGTAAGACTTTGGAATAAATTGCCCAGAGAAGTTGTGGATGCCGCCTCCCTGGAGGTGTTCAAGGCCAGGTTGGACGGTGCTTTGAGTAGCCTGGTCTAGTTGAGAGGCGTCCCTGCCCATGACAGGGAGGTTGGATTAGATGATCTCTGAGGTCCCTTCCAGCCTATGCCATTCTATGATTCTATGATTCTGTGATTCTTGGCGCTTAGAATGAGTGTCTAGCTTATGGGAACTCAAATCAGCTTGCAGCTCAGTGATTTATAAGTTCTGAAAGAGAATCTCTGGCTGAGTTTCTTACACTTTTTTATTCCATGCTTTCAAATAACTGGGAAAGGAAACAAACTCATACTCGTCCTGTAGAGACGCTCTGCTCAAAAATGGTCAGTGTGTGCTCTCAGTGAGTTGACGGCTCCAAAGCAGGCCTGTGTGCAGAGAGCCAGCTGACAGGGAGACTTGTAAGCACGATGTGAGGTTTCAGGGGTGAGGTTGCAAACAAGATCGAAAAGTAGGATCTCTAGGAAATGAAAAATGGATATGGCAACCCATGTCCATCCTTTGAGGTTGTGTTCTTGGTGATAACTTCTAATATCCGTTGTGTTCTTTTCGGAGAGTCAATTTTCTCTATTTCTTTTTCTCCTAGACGTCTGGATGCCAACCACATCAACTATGTGCCCCCCAACTGCTTCAATGGCTTGGTGTCCCTTAGACACCTGTGGCTAGACGATAATTCTTTGACAGAAATTCCCGTCGAAGCTTTTAGAAGTTTACCAGCACTTCAGGCGATGACATTGGCCCTGAATAAAATTCATTACATACCAGACTATGCTTTTGGAAACCTTTCTAGTTTGGTAGTTCTGTAAGTTTTATTGATTGCTTTTTAGCCACAATCTCTGCTTCTTTGCAGGACTTTGACCATTTTGTGATAAATTGCTTGAAGATGCAATGTTTAATTTAGATGTTTCCTGAGACAACCTTTAATAATTAAGTATTCCCTGTGTCCCTCCCCACTTGGCAAATGACAGGTAAAGAAGTATATACATGGGTTAATTAAATTGATATCTTTGGGCTATAAATCTGCAGTTCCCTTCTGCATTTGCACTAGGCTTAGTGATAGTCCTTTACCAAGAGGTCAATTCCATTTGCTGCAGAAAATGTTCTTTTTGAAAAATAAATTTTCTGGATTGTATATGTACTGCAAACAAAATTTTTAAAAATATCTTGGATAAACAGATTTTTTACATCTTCCTACAGTTAAACTAGCATTTGCTAAATCACTGGTTTTGATCTAGCTTAAAAGTTTCCATCTCCAATAAAGAACTATGTAAAGGAATTAAAAAATCAGTCTACCTGGTCAGCAAAACAAACAGGAAGAGATGAATTGTGTGCCCTCTAAGACTCTAAGGCAATGTGTACTGAATGAGGGAAGATTAGAAAAAGGAAATAGACTGAAACCTTTCTGGGTGACTTGGAAAGAATGCCATCCAGTAGAGAAAGTATGCATTTCCCTTCATGGAAAGTATATGCAGTTTTGTACTTCTTTTATTTTTGCAAAACAGTTCAGCTAAATGAAACGTGTAGCTTGCACCAAAGTCTGGAAGGAATTCTATGGAGTGCGGTTTCAGCCTTTTATCTTCTGGGAATGTACCAAGTGGAAAAATTCTAGACTGGCTGGAGAAACTGAGGAGGAGAACTGAGGTGGAGGAGTTATTTCAGGATACTTTGGAAAATGTTAGCATTATTAAAGAGAAAATAATATATTCAAAGTTTACAAGCTGTCTGAAACCATAGACTGTAAGACACTTAGCATATTTTAGCGTATTCTATCTCCAGTGTAATAATTGAACCTGGCACACACCAGGGTTCTCTACTGACAGTCATAATCACTATCTCTGCCTAGTGCTTAATATATTCATATATGCATAGAGGGCACCAAAAATGGAGGGTAACAGCTGCCTTGTGCCACAAAATCTTTTCCTGCTGTTTACATTAGGTTTCAATCTCATTCAAGTTAAAGAGTGGATGGACTTGTCATTTGACTGAGCTTCTAGACTTATCTCAGTAGTGCTAAAGACAAAAGACTGTCTTGAATGTCATTCTCTAGATCCCTACCAGAAATGTAGTGTTAAGAGGACAGTTAAGAAATGCAGAGGAAGATTATTTCTTTTCATGCCCTGATTGGTTCTGCTCAGTTAAGTTTCCTTATTTTAGATCTGCTTAGCTTATTTCTAATCTTCTGGGCTTTGTATTGATTAATAATTGAATCATTCCTCATAATCTACAACATCTGATATTTTTGGCTCATTAAAATCTTTGTGTGTGGTTCTGCTTTCATTTGTTTGCTACTGTATTCAGTCTGGCAAATTTTCAACTCAGTGCAAAAATGCATAGTCAGTTGGAGCAGGTTTGAAGCTCTGTCATTAAAGATCAAATATAATTGGAATTTGGAGATGCACTCTTCGTTCTAACTAAAGCAGTAAAGGTCAGTGTAATCATTAAAAAAAAAAAAAAAAGTTGATTAGGTTTCTTCCTAGGAAAGTAAAAACCCACAGAATATGTGCATTTTGCCATAAGAATCCCTGCCTTTTATGGACAGGTAGACTCAATTTCTGTCGGTTCTGCAGAAGATACAGAGAGCCTCTGATCTTTAACATTATTTTCAGAGCAGTCTGAAGCATTGAAGGGGGAGTGCCTGTCAGTCCCTCATTCACTGCCTGTCTTTTCTTTTAAAGTTCTGCTCCATAGTTTCCCCCCACTACAAGGGGGAAACTTGACTACAGTGTCAAGAATAAAATAAAAAGAAAAATCTGGGAAAAAGGCGTCCTTTTTAAAAAACAACCTGAAGTGGCTCCAAGTTGTATCTACTCACATTAATGAGCTTCACACGATGTGAGGTTTTTCCATGTCAGTCTAAAAGACTTAGAAATAGCACTCTGAGCCTTTGTGCAGGGTGGTTTGTTGAAATATGTAACAAAATTAATTTCAATTGCTAAACATTTGAGAAAATAGTTTTTGATTTTTATAGTTTCAAAAGAAGGCAAGTTACAGCACTTTTAAGATTGGTTAGTTTACTCATCTCAGTGAAGCTGTGACTTTTTGGTCCTATGGCTTTCAGTCTTTTTTTTGTTCTGCAAGCCTAATCCCCCTTTCCTGTCTGCCATAATATCCATCTCCTCACCGGCTCCTGTTCTGTGCCATACCCTCTACCACCCTCTGAATATACATCTTCCAAATATACATCTCACACCCCACATACAGTTTTTAAGGCAACCTGTTAATTAACTACAATTTCACAGTGTTCAATATGCAAACTCCAATCTGGAACTCTAGCATATGACCTTTTTCAACAATCTAGGTGGTTTTAAAACAAATCCCTTCTATGAAATCCAATGGAAGCCTGCATGGGTGGGGAGATACAGAGAAAAAGGGGGGAGGGCAGCCGAGGTGCCTCCTATACATGCTCTTGCAAAAGCATGACTTGCATATAATCAGTGCATGCCTGAAAATAAGTTTCTTTTGATTTAACCATCAAAATGTTTTGCTTAAGTCCACTGTGTGCAGTGTGCTTTCCTGACTGTGTGCTTAATGTTCCTCTGCAGACATCTCCATAACAATAGAATCTACTCCCTGGGAAAGAAATGCTTTGATGGGCTCCACAGCCTAGAGACTTTGTGAGTTGACCTCTTACTTGTTTCCTTTTTTTTTTCAGTGTTTTCATTAATATTCTAAAAGAATAAAAATAGACTAAAAGCCAAATGTAGTTTTTGGCTTGCCTAATCACTACAGGATCTAAGTGATGGTTTACAATGACTCTATGTTGCAAATCCTATTTTTGACTATAAAATTAGTTTGCCTTTTTAATAACCGTTGTCAATTGATAAATTGTTTGAAGAACAGTTGAAAACTGTACTGAGCATTGAAAAAGAAGTGGCTATTCACGAACAGTTACATTTGTCTAGTTTAGTACTATTTATTTGTCTTGTTTAATCAGTAAAGCTAATAGCTTGATTGGGAAATTGTCGAAATTAATAGCTTTAACATTAAGAAACTGTCTTGCCATAGAGGAATGTTATAAAATTAGGCAGTTTTATTTCTTTTGTCCCTGGAAAAAGCAAAAATGCCAGGCAACCAAATTATGCATGTGTTTTATAAGGGGGAAGAGGAATGTTTCAGTTGTATCCAAGTTTTTGTCTTTAAAGAGCCCTGATAAAGAATAGCACTAGTAAAGATTGAAATTTCCTCAAGTTTGCATTGGTTCTGTCAGACCAATTCAAATTTTCTTGAGTTTTCTAACAAAAAATACAGAAGAACACTGAACAGGAACGCAGTGCTGACGGCTAGCGCAAGTATTTGGAATAAAGGTGTTGTCTGCTAGAGTAGACTACAAACCCCAAAAGTGCTACAGGAACAGCAAAACCTTGCATATCCTTCCCCCTGACACCTGCCAAAGTCAGCTTTATCATTTTCAGAGATTTTAGATGCTTTGCTCAACCAGGACAGAGGCTAAAAGGCTTGGTGTAAGGAACAAATAGACAAAGTTCCAAACATTAATAATGCTAGTCTAAAGGTGACTATTTGCTTTCTCATCCATAGAACTATGTACTGCCTACTTTCATGTTTTATTAAGATCACAAGGCAAGAAATTTTGGGCTTTTTTTAAAATCATTAGTTATGAATACATTGGTCTCTTGCCACTGAATTGTAATTTTACAATTTTGACTTTTAGCTGGCTGTGAGTTGAGAGGAAGTCCCTTAGTGTAGCACCGGAAAGGGGGACAGGAAAGGGAGAAGGAAAATGTAATTGTTTGTTTTGGTTTTTTAAGTGAGATTCACTTGGCACTTGGTCAAAAACAGGGAAAAACAGAACAATAGAATAAGTAATTGCAAACCCAGTCCCAGCCACCTGGTATGAGAGATGAAAACACAGAGGACAGTCAGGAACCTGTCAATAATGTAGGTGCAGCCACTTCACTGCAGTAAGAGAATGTAGCATTTACCTCAAGCACAGTAATTGCATACTGTATAGACCGGTTTCCAGATAGTTTCAAGATAATCTAAAAAGATCTCGGTGTAGATGGAGGACGCCAGCTTTAAGATCATTTGTTTGCATTGACGCATGGATCTGGAAATCACATATCACTGGAGGGCAAAACCAAACCATACATGCCTGTAATCTCTTTTTGTCAATAAGCAGGAGAGAGAGATTTACAAGCAGGAAGGAAAGCCTTGTTGAATTCAGACAGCAGTTTCCTGCCTGCATTACTTCAGCCTGATACTATTTCAATTCCAATCTATTGTAAACTGTGATCTGTGTTTTGCCTGTTCAAAAAGGCTTTTGCTCAAATTTTTCAGACTATGTTCTTCACAAAGCAGTGTCAGAGAGCATCACAGTAAACTGGCATATCACAACTTTAGTTTCAGGTTCTCCTGAATGCTAAAGGATGCACATGTCATGCTGAGGGCAGCAGTAGGCTTATAGTCCATTTAACCTACTAGAATAAAGTCTAATTACCACTGCAGCATGAGCAGTTCTTAAAGCAGAGGTCACTACCCTAGCTAAACTACTGTTTTTACAATTTATGTGGTAATGTATGAATATTGAGAAATCTTAAAATTAGCAGTGCAGTTAATGTTGAAGTTACTGTGTGTTTTCCCACTTGTTTTAGCCAGAGGAAGATTTCCCCTAATCATTTCTACCCTCCAAACTCCAGTACCTCTTATTTTTACCACTTAACCATTAGGAAAAATATCTTGAGATATTTTTTTATCAGAAAAAAAAAAGACTTAATACAAGCAGACAATGAGTCAGAGGCAAATTATGAGGGTATGATGAGATGTATCAGCCATGTAAAATGCAGCTCACCATACAAAGTTGTTGAATATTCTGTTTGAAAGATTTTTTTTCATATTCATACTTTCAGGTAGTGAAAAGGATGGGCAATTTACAAACCAGCAAATTCCTTAGTAGTATCTGAATCCATTTATGTTTCCTTTATTGCAGAATAGCTAAGATGTAACTAAAAATAGGATGCTGATAAAAAATAGGAAGGATAATATATCATAAATAGAGTTTGTTGGAAAACATCCATACACTTTTGAGGATTTCCTGGCTTTTGGCTGTATGTATTTATTCAATGCATGGAAGATGATATTTCGTTACAAATGCCAACAATTCTATGTTTTCCATTATGCAGTGCATAACCTAAATAATAAAATCTATTTTCACACAGAGATTTAAATTACAACAGTCTGGACGAGTTCCCCACTGCCATCAGGACACTAACAAACCTAAAAGAACTGTAAGTACAGAGCTTATATTAGGGAAGAGGATGTTTTGTCTAGTGTGTGATTATTTTTTTTAATGCTGGTGATTTTATCAGTAATCCTTAAAAACTGATATGCAAGGAAAAACTAATAAACATGCCAACACGTATAAAAGATAATTTTCAACATTCAGTTTAGAGCATTCAAGTTCTGACAACTTTTATTTTTATACTGCATTATGCAGTGGGTTTTTCCCAGGAACTTCATCCTTAGAATACATAAATAATAAACACAATTAATTCACTTTGAGTTGCAAACACAACAGTTAGATTTTGCAAACAATCCAATATATCACATTCTTCCACTCTAAGAGAAAGAAGACTGGCACCCTTATTAGTCCATCAGGTTTAAATGTCTTTACCTTCTTCCCTCCCTGCCTCCATTAAGTTAAAGCAGTTTCTTTTCAATATAAATAGTCCTTTGTAATGCTGTAAATAAAACACTTCTGGATGCACAGACATAGTTTGCAAAAAAAAAACAACCACAAAACCAAAAACCAACAATGAAAAGAAAACAGCCAACTTTATTTATTGTAAGAAACAGCTGAATTATAAAAGAATGATTGAAATTATGTTCACACATCAATGCATATGTTCAGAATTCTTTCCATTTGAATTATTTACCATGTTACTGGTACCATCAGCATAGATTTTGGAAAAAAAATAGGTAATTATATACTAGTTGGACACAATTTTCCCCCTGCTACATGACAAACTGATCGTAAAGCTGCTTTAAGTAGCTACCTGGGACATTTTACAAAGCAGGGATCCCCAGGCAGCGTTGACTCCAGTTCAGCAGCTCCAGTGTTGGCAGAGCGCGGCTCTGGAGAAGGGAGTGGGGCTATGAATTTCTCAGTCCAACTGTTCTCAGCTGCTCTTATGTTATCTGTCGGCTAAAATAATTGCTATGAAATCCAGTGGTCTGAAGGATTGCCCTTTTGCTGACCTCTGGTGTCGGTGGCCAGACATGAATAACCCAAGTTTGCAGTAAATGCACCTTGCCCAGTCCAGCAAAGTGCCTGATGTGCTTGAGGTTACTTACTGACCCCATAGGACTTCATCTCTAAGTATCAAACTTATTGTTTCAGATAGGTGCAAGAAATCTTTGGAGTGTGAAATTGCAACCTGACATCCCAAATCGAGCACAGACCATGAGACCATGTGCTTCAGTGCTTTATTTGGGCCCTGGAAGCTGATCTTACAAGGATGAGGTGTCTCTCACGAGGTTGTGCATGCCCTGCTGTTCTCACCCAAGCGGAAGCCCAGGCCCACAGACGTTCAGCTGATTGCAGGGCCACCTTAGTAAGAGTTTTTCTGGGTGGGACCTCATTTCTCTCTCAGAATTTGCACCTGGGCTGAAAATACAGACTATGGCTTTTTGTGTACAGCTTGGAGGCATTCAACACAGCCAGTCAGAGCTGAAGGTCTCTGACAAGTGGCCAGTGAGTTAGGGCCATATCCATTTGATGCTACAGGGACACCGTTGTCCCAGATGTTGTCCCACTTTATTGTCCCACCGTTGTCCCACATTGTCCCACTTCAGGGTCTCAGCTGTAGGAGTAGTTATCTCTCCAAAGGAAGTGGGTATAGCTGTTACTCAAAGTTAATGCATATGTAATGTTTTCTATACTGGATTTTGAAGATACCTATTTTTCCCAGTATAGCCTTAATACTCTTCACCCAGAGGTGCAGGTAGATTTTACTGCTCTTTTGCTCAGTATGCAAACTGGTAGGCTACAAACTGCCTTCAGTTCAGACAGAATGTATCACCTGGGTATAGTGCCCCAGAACACGGGCTGCAGCCATGAGCACACACTCTTCCAATTAGCTCAGAAGTGCATCAGGCACCTCCATGCATAAACACACTAAGCCAGCTGTTGGCAGATGTTGGGGCTGCTCCTCCACTCTAACTCAAGCCAGAATTGTGATGAGGGGCCAAATACTGCCCTGGGAAGTTGTCATGCCATTTCTTTAGCTTTTTCTGCCATGCAAGGAATCCCATTCAATGCAGCCACAAAACCAGACTACTTACTGGTTCTAGATTAAATGGGATTCTCATATTGCTTGGAGTCTGCATCTGCATGGATGCAGGTTTTATTGCATGTGAAAGAACTAGGGATTTATAGCCTTGCTCTGTAGCTCATCAGCAGTAGCACAATGCCTAAACAAATAAAATTAATATTGTGGGACTTGAACAAGTAATGGCCAAGTGTGCTTGCATCAGTGAACAATTTGAGGCTTTCTAAGTGCATAAATTTAAGCTGGGAAGCCTTTTTCATACCCGAGTGAACTAATGGGAGTTTCCCACACAAATCATCATTGTTCTTTTGAAATCTTAGTTGTTTCTTTTGTTTTCCACAATGGAGAATTGCTCATATGAATAAAATGTAATAATTAATGATGAGACAAAGATTTGGCCCTCTATCCAGCAGGCATAACTACATTGGATAGTTTGTTCATGTCTATATTTATAATATTTCAACAAAAATGTAGGAGGCTCAACATAATACAATATAATGCATAAATTCATTTACTTGATAAACTCGTGCAATTCATTATTATCCCAGGAAAAGAAATAGTTGCAGCTAACAAGTACAGGGGGAAATATATATACTATTTTATTGTTATGTATTTTGTTATTAATATTTAACTAATGATGTTATTGGTTCATATGTATGTGTATATTTACATTATATCTATATACACACACGTAGATTCATAGATACATGACATACAGTTACAAAGCAGTTTCCTACTGAAGGCATCTGAATTTTAAAATGCCATTTTGCAGTTTACTTCATCTGAATGGTTTTATTCATTTCAAAAAATGCAGAATGACAGATATTTCATTGATTTTCTTTTATTTTGCTTTTTTCAGTTGTGTCCTATTCCAGAAAATACGGACATACTTTTATATACAAACACTTTTCTTATTACAAACGAAAAAAGTTGTTGCACATTGTGAATGTAGATTGCACCTTCAATTTTTTTTCTTACTGTGTAAACCATTTTCCTTTTGTAGGGGGTTTCATAGCAATAACATCAAGTCAATACCTGAGCGTGCATTTGTGGGTAATCCATCACTTATTACAATGTAAGTGATAACAGTCTTCTCAATGATTCTTCTTATTAGAGAACATGGAACTTAGTATTGTATTTATGGCTAATTGTCAAATAGCTTTTCTTGTAAGTGTGCTGTACACAAGCAAACAAGCTCATATCTTTCCAATTTTGTGGAAAGAATGGCAGTTTACATGCCCTGCTTAAGGGAAGCGAGTAGTGGTGTCTGGCCTTTGACCTTTTATTTGAACTGTTTCTTCTAAGTCCCTTAGCATTACTGGCAATGTAGAAGCTAGCAAAAATTACTCTTGATGGATTCCAGTCAAAGTTCTCATTGTCTTACATGAGAATGCATTTAATGGGCAAACCTCAAAATAAGAAATTGTAAAATAAATGTAAGAAAAATAGTGACTCACTTCGAGCAGTATTCTTCTATGAGCAAAAGCAGTACGACTTCAGAAGTGCAAGGGAACTTCTTCTGAGTAGGTCAAGTTCTGACTTCTTCACCTGCTAACCTTACATTTATCTCAGGTCTTAACAAAGTTCTTCATGTTTGGATTTCTATCTTTGCAAACCTGTGAGGAAGAGATAATATTTTGTTGACTGGCTTCTGGCTTTAAAACCAAGAAAACAAAGACTACTTCAATATTCAAAATACGAAATGTGGTTGATGGATATAGATTAGTGAGTGAGAAAAGCCCAGCAGTGCACCTCTGCTACAACCAGAGGTGCACAGTCTATGATTCATCATAGAGAGTTTACTTAGTTGCTTGTAGTATAATCATGTAATATATTTAGAATCTATTAAAATATTTTTCAGAAAATGTCTTTTTATCCTCTTTTTTTGCAGACATTTTTATGATAACCCTATCCAGCTTGTTGGAAAATCTGCTTTTCAGCACTTACCAGAACTCAGAACTCTGTACGTGTTTACTTTTTTATTTTAGTTGTCTTTATAAATTGCAATATTAGAGTTGACCCACACTTCCCTCACCACAATTGTATTGAAATGATGTTTTTAAATTCTAGGACTTTAAATGGTGCTTCACAGATAACAGAGTTTCCTGATCTGACAGGGACTACAAGTCTGGAGAGTTTGTAAGTGCTAGAGAAGTATTTTTACTTTGTTTTAATTTTTTGGCTGACTTAAGAATGTCTTAAAAAATGTATTTGTTTTGCAATCTTTAAAGAGAAATCTTTTTTTTTTTTTTTTTATAAATATTTTCAACAGGACACTTACAGGAGCACAGATAACCTCTCTCCCCAAATCAGCTTGTGACCAGTTACCTAATCTCCAAGTGCTGTACGTTTCAGTAAGATTATTAACATTACATTAATGCAAGAGATTAATGGACAAATGAAATCATTATGATTTAAAAATTACCAAATTACTGCTATTTCTGTGTATCACGTTACTTCTTAGGAATCCAGCTCAGGGAGCAGGCCTCCGTGTTACTCAAAAAGTTCACAACCCGCCTATCAGTCAGGATTTCCCATACGTTGCTGAACAAGATAATTACTTTGCATGTTTTCACTAAAGGGTAAAATGGTGCTTGATTTTCTTTAAAAACCAGTAGAACTACCTTATTTTCATTCATTTTGTCTCTCCTACAGTAGTCTGGGTTTTTTTTTCTCACTAAGGCAGATAATAATAATAGTGAAGTGAATAGAAAGTAAAACTCAGTAATGAGTGCAGTTTTGAGACCTTGTTATGCTCCTTTTTTAGTTTCTTTTCCAACTAGACATAAGTAGCTGACTGAAATTTTATTAGACTGTTCCTTGGCATAGTTGGAGCATAGTTTTTGTACTAAATATCTAATATTATTTTAGCTTGGAAATTTCCTTGGAGTTTGCTTAATCACTAACGAAGGTAATCATTGCGTCCGCTTCTTTGAGAATGAGCCAAAAGCACTTTCCTCTATGTATTACATCACTAGGAATGTATTTGGTATTAGTTTTCTGGCCACCATTGAAATAGCAATAATTATCACACATTATTTGGATACCAGCATGGATGTCATGAACATTTTCAGAAAAAATTAAGTTTTAGTTGATGGACTCAAAATAATAATTTCCAGAATGATAAATGACATAAACAGAGTCTGTTGCCAGAAGAAAGTCTGTACACAGGCTTGAGGTCAAATATGTCCTGTATTATTCAAAAACCATAAACAATCTCAAAACAGAAGGCAAATAAATACTATAGTAATTAATAACTTTTACACTTCATAGCAGAGTAGGACCGTCCATTGGAAATTCACATATTTTGTATCACCCTGTATTATTAGAGCTGATATATAAAAGGGTGGGGAACCAACTTAACAGCAATTTCATATACTCAGAGATGCTCTTTCCCCATTCCCATCAGATTGGAACGAGCCCACCAAGCCCACATTTAGGTTTGCACATTAGTTTTGCCTGTGCCATGAAGTGTAATGGTC